AGGGAAAGAATAGTTTTTTTAACAAACAGTGATAGAAGAATTGAATATTCACACGAAAAAAAAAGATGAATTTAGATCCTTACTTTACATCATTCACAAGAGTTAAAATGGATCACAGACCTAAAGGTAAGAGCTAAAACTATACAATCTTTAGAAGAAACTACTGGAAAAAAAATCTTTGTGACCTTTGGTTAGGCAGAGTTCTTAGATACATTACCAGAAGCACAATCCCTAAAAGAAAACATTGATTAAACTGTACTTCACTAAAAATAATAACTTTTGTTCTTTGAAAAGACACAATTAAAAAAACGAAAAGACTTGCCACAGACTGGGAGAAAATATTTGCAAATCATATTTCAAATAAAAGACTTGTACCCAGAACATACAAAGAACTCTTATAATCTGATAACAAGAAAACAAACCAATGAAAAATAGAAAAAATGTTTTAATAGATATTTCACCAAATAACCATAAAAATGGTTAATAAACACACGAAAAGACGTTCAACACCATTAGTCATTTGGGAAACACAAATCAAAGCACAATGAGGTACCATTTCACAGCCTCTAGAATGGCTACTATAAAAAAAAGACAGACAATAAGAAATGTTGTCAAGAACACAGTGAAAGTAGAATCCTCATTCCTGGTAGGAATGTAAAATAGTGCAGCCACTTTGCAAAATAGTTTCACAGTTTCTTAAAGGTTAAATATCAATTTACCATATGATTCAGTAATTCTACACTTAAGTATCTACTCAAAAGAAATGAAACATACATCCACACAAAGACTTACATGTGAATGTTTACAGCAGCATTATTCGTAAGTGCCAACAAGCGGAAACAATCCAAATGCCCTTCAACTAATAAATGCATAAATAAAATGTTGTATGTTAAGACAATGGAACACTATTTACCAATAAAAAGGAACAAAGTACTGATGCATGATACAACATGGGTAAACATCAAAAACATTACTGAAAGATGTCAGATATAAAAGACCACATGTTGTAGAATTCCATATATTTGAATTGTCCAGAGAAATATCTATAGAAACAGAAAGAAGACAAGCAATTGTCTAGGATTGGCGGTGAAGATAGAGATTGCAAATGGCATGAGGATCTTCTAAGGATGACTCAAATGTTCTAATATTGCACGTGGTAATGGTTGCACAACTCAGTAAGTTTACTAAAAATCATTACATTGTCTACTTAAAAGGGGTGGATTTTGTAGTATGTAACTTATATCTCAATACAGCTGTTTAAAAAAGACATGAACTGATTATGGGATCAAGGCTAGAAAACAAAGTAAGGCCAGGAAATGGTTGGGAAAATCAGAAAAACAAAACAAAACAAAACAAAACTAGAAGCCTTAATGTGGTTGAAGAGTTGGTGTGGAAGTGAGAGATTTGGAGAGTTGGCTTAATTTCAGAGATGACAGAGTCTGGATTTACAAACAAGAAAAATTAAAGGATAAGTATATTTCAAACAATTTATGAAAGATTCACAATAAGAATCCTATAAAAGTAAGCACTACCAAAATATTTCAAATATGGATTGATTTGGAATATTGGAGTTATACACAACTTTACATAAAGTGAAGCATACCTATATTCCATATTGTTTTTTAGTATCTATTTTACAGGCTTTCAAAAGTTAATTTCCATTCTCAAAAGACACTTTATTCTGAATAGCAGTTGTGCTGAGCCAACTGAGGTATACCACAGCTACTCCTCATCAACCCCTTGCAAGAGACAGGTTGGAAATGAGGTCAGGGAAAATACAAAGCATGAAGAACACTTTGCTGGAGGCTAGGTGATTAAGCCCTATTGCAATTAAACAAATGCGAGAATAATTTAAAAAGAGCAAAGTGACTCAAAGACATAGTGCATTATCTCTTGAAAGTTCCTTTTGGACTCCGTAAATAAAGATGATTACATCTGAGTAGCTAAAGCTCAAGCTTCTTTTCTTTACCACTTTAAAAGAGAAGATTATAAGCTCCTTTTCTTTATCCTCAGCAAACTCGAAGTTTTACGTTCTGGTAGATATTTTTTTTAAATAATCAGTAAACTAGTTTGAAATGAGCTTTTAGTAATGCAACAAAATCACTGAACTCTACAACTTTTGGTTTGATTTTATTTTCACCAGATTGCCTTCTCCCATGCAATGTACCTACTAGTGAGAGTATTAATAAAACCTGTAATTATTTTTATTCATCTGTCACAAACTTTTATTTATACTGTCTAGTTAAATGGTTACTTCTAAAATTTCTAGTGTTACTTTTTTATATAAATCAGATCCGAAACTCCCAATTTGTGATCTTTTATGTAAAAGTAAACAAAAACCACAGATCTTTTGAAAACATTTAAAAAAAATAAGCAGTAAAAGTATAATGCAAAATGACAAAATTACAACACAGAATAAAAATAACATTTAAATATGTATAAGCTTCTTCAAGAATTTAAAATACTACAAATTACATGTAAAATGTGAATAATAAAGACTGACTTTATCAGTCCATAATATCCTGAAGCAGCATTAATTGTCTAATCTAGTCCTAGTCTAACCTTTAAAATTTAGTCACTCCTGCCATCCATAATGGCATCTCTGGATAAAACAAATGGGATTTCCCGAGTGGACCTGAGCCAAAGCTATTGTTGGGGCCAAGATTGAATACTGATGGTCCTGACTAAAATGGAGAGTTGGGGTCACCGGGGTGATATCCTGCTGGTTCAATACTAGATTTCTAGGAAAGGACAGAGAAGATTTCTGATGACAAAAATTGTCATCTGTTTTGTGAGTAGACTCATTCATTCATTCAAAAATTATTTATTTAGCATCAGTTATGCGCAAGGCATTAATGAAAGGTTAGATGGCTAACACGTTATCACCAGATATTGCATAAAAAATTATTAGCCCAGATAATTTTTTTAACAGAACAATATTCCCAATAATAATAAGTAGATTGGAAAAAATAAGAACATTAAAAGTATTTACCTGGCATATTTTTTTTAGTCATCCTGAACCTGTGTCTATTTATAATGTTCATTTAACTTATTTCCCTTTTCTAAGAGCTAAAAGTTACTCAATTTAAAAATTACTCATTCTTTCTGATATTCTCAATATATTCAATTTCATTTTTAAAAAGTACTTCCTATTTTCTTTAGAACATTGGGCTTTACCTTTAGTTATTATAAAGCCTTCAAAGATTATATAAAAGCAGATTTAACACCATTTATATTGGAAATTTCTAAATTTAGGAGGTCTATTACTATCCAGTTAGAAAGTTTCCCCATTCTATTCTTTTCATGTCACTGGACTGTCGGTCAGGAGACCAAGTATACCAAGAAATACTGGCCAAGAGGAAAATGAATTAGTTACTGTGCTTTCATTCTAAATGTCACTGCAAAATCAGAACAAGGTGTTTGCCTAATTTAAATGTTACTGGCAAAACTATTTAGTTGAGATAATAGTTTAAAAAAAAGTGAAGTGTTTCCATTTTTTCAACAACACTATAATATTATAATATTAAACTATATAAATATAGAAACTATATTACTAAAAGGTATTTGAATGTTTATAAAGTTAGTATTAAATGAGTGTATATTTTCAATACTATAATATTCAATTCTTTAAAGATAATCTTACCTGAAGATTTGTGATTGTCTTTGTTTAATTTTTAACTCATGTTGCAACTGACTCAATTCTTTCTGTACTCTCTGAAAATCATTTTGGTGACTTTTTAACTGCATGCTTGCATCTTGAATTCTAAAAATATAAACAAATAACAACTGTTATAAGCCTAAATATTTCCTCATGAGTACTTTATCAAAATTTAAATCCACTTTTTTCATTGCAGCACTATTTACAATAGCCAGGACATGGAAGCAAACTAAATGTCTATCAACAGAGGTATGGATAAAGAAGATGTGGTACATATATACAATGGAAAATTACTCAGCCATAATAAAAAACAAAATAATGCCATTTGCAGCAACATGGATGGACCTAGAGACTGTCATACTGAGTGAAGTAAGTCAGACACAGAAAAGACAAATATCATATAATACTGCTTATATGTGGAATCTAAAAAAAGGAGACAAATGAACGTAGTTACAAAACAGAAGTAGAGTCACAGATATATCAATAGAAAACAAACTTATGGTTACCAGCAGATAAGGAAGGGGTGGGATAAACTGGGAGATTGGGATTGACATATACACACTGCTACATATAAATAGATAATTAATAAGAACCTACTGTACAGCACAGGGAGCTCTACTCAGTACTCAGTAATGGGCTATGGGAAAAAAATCTATAAAAATAGTGGATATATGTATATGTATAATTGATTCACTTTGCTGTACACCTGAAACTAACACAACATAGTAAATCAACTATACTCCAAAACAATTTTTTTAAATTTTAAATCCATTTTTAATAAAAATAAAAGAAAATTATGGGGGGGGACCTTCAAGATGGTGGAGAAATAAGACGTGGAGATCACCTTCCTCCCCACAATTACATCAAAAATACATCTACATGTGGAACAACTCTTACAGAACACCTACTGAATGCTGGCAGAAGACCTCAGACTTCCCAAAAGGCAAGAAAATCCCCATGTACCTAGGTAGGGCAAAAGAAAACAGAAAAAACAGAGACAAAAGAATAGGGACAGGACCTGCACCTCTGGGAGGGAGCTGTAAAAGAGGAAAAGTTTCCACACACTAGGAAGCCCCTTCACTGGTAGAGAGGGAGGTGGACGGGGGGAAAGCTTTGGAGCCATGGAGGAGGGCACAGCAACAGGGGTGCAGAGGGCAAATCAGAGAGATTCCTGCACATGGGATCAGTGCCGACCAGCATTCACCAGCCTAAGACAATTTTCTGCTCACCCGCCGGGGCAGGTGGGGGCTGGGAGCTGAGGCTTGGGCTTCGGAGGTCAGATCCCAGGGAGAAGACTGGGGTTGGCTGCGTGAAGACAGCCTGAAGAGGGCTGGTGTGCTAAAACTAGCTGGGAGGGAGTCAGGGAAAAAGTCTGGACCTGCCGAAGAGGCAAGAGACCATTGTTTCGGGGTGTGTGAGGAGGGGGGATTCCTTCCATGTGTGCCCACAGGGGACAGAGCACCACCTAAGCGAGCTCCAGAGATGGGCATGAGCTGTGGCTAGCAGCTCAGACCACAGAGACGGGCATAAAATGCTAATGCTGCTGCCCCTGCCACCAAGAATCCTATGTACAAACACAGGTCACTACCCAAACCCGCCCCCCCAACCCCACAGGAGCCTGGGCAGCACACCACTGCCACTGTCCCCAGATCCAGGGACAACTTCCCCGGGAGAACACACAGAGCACCTCAGGCTGTTGTAATGTCACGCTGGCCTCTGCCACTGCACGCTCCCGTCACATTCCAATTATGACTACCATCCCCCCTCCCTCTCCCTGGCCTGAGACAACAAAAGAGCGCTAATCAGCCGCTGCTTTAACCCTCTCCTGTCTGGGTGGGGAAAAGACACCTGAGGGCGACCTACACACAGAGGTGGGGCCAAAACCAAAGCTGAACCCCAGGAGCTGTGTGAACAAAGAAGAGAAAGGGAAATCTCTCCCAGCAGCCTCAGGAGCAGCAGATTACACTCCCACAATCAACTAGATGAAACCTGCACCTGTGGAATCCCTAAAAAGGCAATGAATATTCCCAAAATTGAGGCAGTGGACTTTGGGAGCAACTGTAGACTAGGGGTTTGCTGTCCGCGACTGATTTGTTTCTGATTTTTATGTTTATCTTAGTTTAGTTTTTAGTGCTTGTTATCGTTGGTGGATTTGTTTATTGGTTTGGTTGCTCTCTTTTTTTATTTTATTATTTATTTTATAATTTTTAAAATATTATTATTATTTTCTTCCTTTTTTTTTGTTCCTTTTCTTCTGAGCCATGTGGCTGACAGGGTCTTGGTGCTCCGGCTGGTTGTGAAGCCTGAGCCTCCGAGGTGGGAGAGCCAAGTCCAGGACATTGCACTACCAGAGAGACACCCCAGCTCCACATAATACCAACTGGCGAGAGCTCTCCCAGAGATCTCTGTCTCAACGCTAAGACCCAGCTCCACCCAACGGCCTGCAAGCTCAAGTGCTGGATGCCCCATGCCAAACAACTAGCAAGACAGGAACGCAACCCCACCCATCAGCAGAGAGGCTGCCTAAAATCACACTAAGTTCACAGACACCCCAAAACACAAAACCGGACACAGCCTGCCCACCAGAATGACAAGATCCAGCCCCACCCACCAGAACACAGGCACCAGGCCCCGCCACCAGGAAGCCTACACAAGCCACTGAACCAACCTCACCCACTGGGGGCAGACACCAAAAACAACGGGAGCTATGAACTTGCAGCCTGTGAAAAGGAGATCCCAAACACAGTAAATTAAACAAAATGAGAAGACAGAGAAATATGCAGCAGATGAAGGAGCAAGGTAAAAACCCACCAGACCTAACAAATGAAGAGGAAATAGGCAGTCTACCTGAAAAAGAATTCAGAGTAATGATAGTAAAGATGATCCAAAATCGTGGAAATAGAATGGAAAAAATACAAGAAACGTTTAACAAGGATTTAGAAGAAATAAAGAGCAAACAACAATGATGAACACTACAATAAATGAAATTAAAAATTCTTTAGAGGGAATCAATAGCAGAATAACTGAGGCAGAAGATTGGATAAGTGACCTGGAAGACAAAATAGTGGAAATAACCACCGAAGAGCAGAATAAAGAATGAAAAGAATTGAGGGCAGTCTCAGAGACCTCTGGGACAACATTAAACATGCACCAATATTCAAATTATAGGGGTCCCAGAAGAAGACCTGGGTCTGATAAAATATTTGAAGAGATTATAGTTGAAATTTTCCCTAATATGGGAAAGGAAAGAGTCCATCAAGTCCAGGAAGCAAAGAGAGTCCCACACAGGATAAATTCAAGGAGAAACACGCCAAGACACATATTAATCAAACTATCAAAAATTAAATACAAAGGAGAAACATTAAAACTAGCAAGGGAAAAGCAACAAATAAAATACAAGGGAATCCGCATAAGGTTAAGAGCTGATCTTTCAGCAGAAACTCTGCAAGCCAGAAGGGAGTGCTAGACATATTTAAAGTGATGAAAGGGAAAAACCTACAACCAAGATTACTCTAGCCAGCAAGGATCTCATTCAGATTCAACAGAGAAATTAAAACCTATACAGACAAGGAGAAGTTAAGAGAATTCAGCACCACCAAACCAGCTTTACAACAAATGCTAAATAAACTTTGCTAGGCAGGAAACACAAGAGAAGGAAAAGACCTACAAAAACAAACCCAAAACAATTATGAAAATGGTAATAGGAACATACATATCAATAATTACCTTAAATACAAATGGATTAAATGCTCCAACGAAAAGACACAGACTGGCTGAATGGATACAGAAACAAGCCCCATATATATGCTGTCTACAAGAGTCCCACTTCAGACCTAGGGACACATGCAGACTGAAAGTGAAGGGATGGAAAAAGATATTCCATGCAAATGGAAATCAAAAGAAAGCTGGAGTAGCAAGTCTCATATCAGACAAAATAGACTTTAAAATAAAATTACAAGATACAAAGGACACTACATAATGATCAAGGGATCAAACCAAGAAGAAGATATAACAATTGTAAATATTTATGCACCCAACATAGGAGCACCTCAACATATATGGCAAATGTTCACAACCATAAAAGGGGAAATCAACAGTAACACAAAAATAGTAGGGGACTTTAAAACCCCACTTTACCCAATGGACAAATAATCCAAAATGAAAATAAATAAGGAAACCCAAGCTTTAAATAACACATTAGACAAGATGGACTTAATTGATATTTATGGGACATTCCATCCAAAAACAACAAAATACACTTTCTTCTCAAATGCTCATGGAACATTCTCCAGGATAGATCATAGAGTGGGTCACAAATCAAGCCTCAGTAAGTTTAAGAAACTTCAAATTGTATCAAGTACCTTTTCCAACCACAATGCTATGAGACAGGAAAAATACTGTAAAAAATACAAACACTTGGAAGCTAAACAATACGCTACTAAACAACCAAGAGATCACTGAAGAAATCAAAAAATACCTAGAAACAAATGACCATGAAAACACAATGAGCAAAACCTATGGGATGCAGCAAAAGCAGTTCTAAGAGGGAAGTTCATAGCAATACAATCCTACCTCAAGAAACAAGAAACATCTCAAATAACCTAACCTTACACATAAAGCAGTTAGAGAAAGAAGAACAAAAAAACCCCCAAAGTTAGCAGAAGGAAAGAAATCATAAAGATCAGGCAGAAATAAATGAAAAAGAAATGAAAAAAAGAAGAGCAAAGATCAATAAAACTAAAAGTTGGTTCTTTGAGAAGATAAACAAAACTGATAAACCATTAGCCAGACTCATCAAGAAAAAAAGAGAGAAGACTCAAATCAACTGAATTAGAAATGAAAAAGGAGAAGTAACAAATGACACTGAAGAAATACAAAAGATCATGAGAGATTACTACAAGCAACTATATGCCAATCAAATGGACAACCTGGAAGAAATGGACAAATTCTTAGAAAAGCACAACCTTCCAAGACTAAACCAGGAAGAAATAGAAAATATGAACAACTAATCACAAGTAATGCAATTGAAACTGTGATTAAAATTCTTCCAATAGACAAAAGCCCAGGATCAGATGGCTTCACAGGTGAATTCTCTCAACCATTTA